GGCACAACTGTCACAGTTTCATCTGGCAAGGAAGTTGCTGTTAGATGAAGAGGATAAGGATTTGCACGGTCCAGCTGGCATTCTGTCACGTGCCGGCCAGAGAGACAACAAACGCACTGATCCACATGAAGTCAGAGAGAGAGCACAGGACCAGCGCACTGACAAAAGCGAATACAATTGATTTTTGGAGAATCAACAATTAGTCACACATTAGAAGACACGTGTGGAAACTGTGCGAGAGTGTATTTCAAAATGACAAAAGAAGCACTGAGGGGGAACAAGCTAACTGGAAATATATTGTTGATACCAAGACATTTCTTTCAAGAAACAACTGGAAGAGATCCTCAGAACAATCAGTTCCTAGCAACCAGATCAGCTCAGATGAACTGAAAGGCCTCCTCTCAATGGAAACCTTTATGTTATCTTTTTTATTTTCTTCGAGTACACCTGAGATATGACTGACACCGCCTTTTTCTGTTACTTTGCTGAACAATGTTGAGCACTGTGCCCCTGTGAGGTTATCTGACCTGAGAAACCATTATTGTTTATCTGCCTGTTAAAATGATCGATCAAACGCTTCTGAATGAGAAAGAGTCAAAATGAACCACAAATCCAAAATCACACTGAAACTAGCGAGTGGGATTTATTTTCAATAAGCTATCCAGAAGTGAGATAAGAAAAACATTGACAGTATTTACATTTATCCCATCTTCTTAAAAATACAGCACAAATTTCTAATAATTGTGTATTTACAATGTACAATTTTTTCTCAACAAATTCCCAAATACCCAGCCAACACTGGGCACAGTGTTGAGCCTCATTTAAACACAACCCTGCTCTTGGTTGCTTATCCCTCTTGTTCAGTCACAGTGAATGGCACAATCAGGTATGTTACTCTCAAAACAAGATGAAGTTTGAAATCTGTCAAGTTCATAAAACAGCAAAGAGATGGCAAGGATAGTATCTACATCTGAGAGGGAGCTTACAACATGGCAGCTAACACAAGGTAAAATGATTCTAAATACATTTGTTCAAGGGTGGCACGGTAGCTCAGAGGTTAGTTTTGGTGTCTTGCAAAACAGGCTCGCTGGGGCCCTGGGTTCAGTTCACTGGGTTTTAGTGTTCGCTGGCTTTTCTCTAGGTTCTCCAGTGTCCTTGCACAGTCCAAAGATATACTGGTAGGTTAACTTGGTTCTGGGAAAATTGACCCTGGTGAGTATGTGCGTGTCTGTGCTTGTGTCCGTCTTCCCTGTGATGGACTGGCGTTCCATCCAGCGTGTACCCTGCTGTGACAGGCTCTAGCTTCACCGATACTCCGAATCAGGTGAAACGCTTGGAAAAATTATTGGATGGCCAGAATGGGTAATGTGTAAACTATTCTTTTGATCCAAGAATATCTAAAAAACTTCCAACTAGAAACATCCAAACAGAAGACAGCAGTGTGCTGACGTATTCCAGCCTCCAACTTACTGATGGTATGAAGGCCCTTGCTTTCTTAATAATTGGGGCGTACTGGTTCCATTCTGAGCTTTTGATTCTCAATTTTCTCAAGGGTTGACAGATCAGGTCTCTCATGAATGAACGTTTCAGAGTTTACGTCAACAGTGTAAGTGACTAGAGTGTATCTCCATCTAGTCATAAATGAACAATTAACTAAAATTATGTCAAAACATTTCAGCAATATCCACAATTTTATATACTTTATTTGAGTAAAATCATCCATGCATAAAGAGTGATAAGCTACTTTTGATGCTCAATAAAATAAACACATTTTCCAACACATTCTAAAAGGTCTGTAAGTGACATAACTTTATATTGTTCCACAGTGACTTCCTTTAAAATAATCCAATCACAGAAATGTGCTGTAGTGTTAAGTGGTATGGCATGAAAAAGGTTAATCAGCTTGGAAAACCTGTACTAAACCACGCATGGAGCAGTGAGCCAGGGAAACGCAAGCTCTGATACGGCATGAGCTGTAGACTTTCACATCTGGCAGTAAAACAAGGTGATAACCGAATGATCAGAGCCACTGATAATATATATACAAACTCACCTTCGGGGAGTAGTAAAGAAGGAGTTTAGATGGAAGATCTCCAAGCTCAGACTCTTGACTCTTAAAAGGAGAAATGCAGTTTGGACCTAAAAATCAACAGAATAAATAACTAGTCTTCATGCAGCGATCATGCTTGTAAACTAAAAAGGACTATAATATGTAAATACTGACTGGGACAAATGTTCCAAGTGTCAATTTAGTACAGAACACTGATCAGCAGTTAAAATTCAGATTTCCCTCATCGTGCTCACAGCTACACGTCAGAGTTGCCGTCTCACCTGCTGCAAACAGGAGTTTGACCTGCGCGGGTTGTAGGGCGTCGTGGAAAACCATCACGCTGCCCAGCTGCCCTTCCAAAGAGGTGGGGCTGCCCCACTCACTGTCCTGAGTCCCGGCGGAGATCAGCTTGGTGACCGACTCGGGTTTGCCCAGCAGCCCGCCCCAGGTGGGGGCAGACAGGATGCCCCCGAGGGAGGAGCGCCCTGGGGCGGAGAGGTGAGAGAAGGGGGGATCTGGGATCTGCGAAGGAGGGGGTGTAGTGGTCCGGTGCCCGGCTGATCCAATACAGCATGAAATGAAAGGCTGGGAGAGAACAAGATCCAATGGGTTTTAACTGCACATATCCGAACATCCATGATTTCTTTTGAAGCATTGAACCCCCGTCCCAGTTTACTGCCGGCTTTCTATAACTCTAACCTTCTGACGTTTCTAAATCTGAATTGTTAACTTGAACATTCCTGGATTTTAAATTACTGCAAAATAAACTTACGAGTAAAAACCCTTTGATTAATTTGTGCCCGTGAGCGCTCCACACAAAACGCAATGCCAACGGAAGTTTAGGCCAAGAATATATTTTATATATAAAATAGTTTTCAGTCAATATTTTCACAAATAATATAAAGATATACCTTTACAGTAGGAACGCATACAATACCCTAAACTATGTAAAAGTGCACAATGAAAATAATTCCTTATAAAAGTTCACTATAGTATACTAAGGTAAAAAAAAAAAGTATGTAAGAAATTAAGCACAGAGAAATCATGATATATGGTGCAGCAAGATGAAAATCAGAAACTGGTGTAAAGCACAGTAAATGTAAGTATAGCAAAACCGTGGAATATAAAGCTTATTTTTAGCAATGTGAAGAGAAACACACATTTCTTGGCATGACTTGGTTCCAAGTGGTGTTTCTTGTTACAAAGATCTTACCTCAGTCATGGTGGGGAACTTCAATGGTGCAGACAGCTTCTGCTGCCCGTTGACATAAATGTAAATCAAGCTCTGTCCAAAAGGCCTCTTTCCGGGAATGTGAACCACCGCTATGCTGTGCTGTAGAAACAGACGAAAGCGATTTATGTTTCGGCAATGTTTAAAATAAACTGACCTCAGCATCGTTTTTCTCCTATGTTCTGTGGTTTTATAAATGGATAAATGGTTAACGTGAGCACAACACAAGCTTTGAGCTAGCAGAGAATCTGCCTAATGTCTAGTCTTAATGAAGAAAGAGAAACTTCAGGTTTGTAACCAAAGCTAAGCCACAATTCTAAAAGCTCACTTTACACATTTAACAGTCAAAAATCTCAGAATATTCTTACATTTATTACCTTTCTTAGACTATTATATCTGACTAAATTGCAGGAAAAGCATCACTGAAAATTTCAGAAAACAAATTCTACACTGCAGTTCACTGCAGGAAAGGATTCAGTCTTAACTGAATTAATTATTGGCACTACATATAAAAGCAACTGCTAAGACGTCATACTGGGTACTAACTGAAAAATATCCAAGAGAACTGGAGTTACCCATCACTGATCTAGACTGGTCTCTGACTGAGCACACCTGTCAGTTCCAGTTTTCACAGTAATCAAGCTGTTAATTACTTAGGTTCTCTTTTCTTTTAGGCCACGTTTCTGCACTCAATCTTCAGTCTTGAAAATATTCTGCTGTAGGCAGGCTTTTTCCAAGAAATGTAATCTCAACTCAACTTGTTTTTTTTAGTAGATGCTTGCTCATGTCTACCTAAACAAAACATAAAACTGAGGCAATAATGATCTGCAGGGGCAGGTGCATTTTCTGATGCTTCAGAAAACATTTGCACAACATACAATTTTGTGTTCTAATGAGACTGAAGTGCTTATATTTCAGACACCGGAATGAAAAAATCAGATGATGATTAGTTAATAAATAACTTTTTAATAATGAGTTGATAATAATTACTAACACCTCCAACTGTTTAAAACAAGGGTGGGGAACGTCCAGCCCGCGAAATCATTTGGTCTGGCCCTGCCAAGGAAACCGCAGGCATAGAGCTGTGCGATAATTCGATAACTATAATTATCGCGATAACAAAAGTTCGATAAATGTTCGATTTATACGTTTATGCTTTGCGCATGATATGCGCATGCGCACAAAATACCACGCGAGTGCGTGTGCATATTGCAGACCGGGCAGGTAACAGATCCGTTTAATGTTTCTGCTGTTTGGCAAGTGTTTGTTGTGTTCTTAAAATAAAGAGTTGTTTAATTTACCAATTAACTGTCTGGTTTCTTCAACTTTCACTCAGGAGAAAAAATCTGCCTTTAAACTTGAAAGAAATAATGATTTGACATTTATCGTGATAATCATCGATATCGACTGATATGAACATTTTTATCGTGATAATGTTTTTGGCCATATCGCCCAGCCCTACGCAGTTGCGAGTAGCAACATCATCAATACCAGCTAACATCACACGCCTCACCAAAGAGAAGCAGTTCCAGCCATCACATTAGGGGTGAGTTAATTAAATGTTTGACCAAATATAGCAGGCTAATTTTTGAATGATGTTATAAATATCCAAATGGCCCTTGGCAGAAAAAAGGTTCCCCTTTAAACCCCTGGTTTAAAAGATGGAAACGGACTAAAAAAGTATAGATAAATTAGCCTATGCCATACGGAGCTCAGCTGGAATCAAAACCAGAAGCGACACATCAGAGCAAATGGTTAAAAACTTGCAAAAGACATCCTTGTACAGTGGTAATGTTACTCACCCAAAGGGAGTCACAGAAACAGTGATCAGGCAACATGACTGTCGTATATTCCTTCTTGGTGCAGACAGCAACAACTAGCACCCCCGAAGAGCTAATGAAGGCTTCAAAACCAGTGCCACTGGCAGTGAAGAAACTAAGAAGACACAAATCCCACATTTAGGTTTTGAAAGATCTTCACACCTTATAAGACACCTTTTTGCATCTTCTTCATGACTAGTGCACAGAGAAGATTATGTAGTGCATAACAAGTGAGAGCAGAGTATGGAACATACTGTATCATGGAATCTCGGGAGTTGCATGTTTTGAACAAGTACTCAGGATTAAAGTATGTATGAGTCCATTTTTTACACTGTTTCAGTATCACGTTGTTGACAGAGTAAGAACATAATTAAAAGACTTTGAATTCTGAGATATATAGAGAGAATGATGTTCTGTAAGAGGAATCAATTAAAGGACTAGATTCCTCCATGTCTGCTTATCATTACATTTTCAGATGCTTTATTGTTTCTTAAGCGACTACAATATAGTACTTAAAATGGCCTTTGTAAACACTTGATACAGACTGCCAAGCAGAATGCTAGGTAAGAAACACTCAGATGCAACAATGCATGAAGAGATCTGACCTCAGGAATTCAAAATATAAAGTAAATTCAAACTCCGATAGCACTGATAGCACTGCCACTTATGTAACCTCTGTTGAAATTTAAGTTATCTAGCATGGCAGACAAGTTAAGCTGCAATATCACCTTGTAGCCTGATCTTGTCAGAACTCAGAAGCTAAACAAGACTAGGCCTGGTCAGTACTTCACT